CTTGCCAAATTCATCCAATTCGGATCATATATGCGACCTGTACTCTGTTTACCTTTTTACATACGGACGGACAGACAGACGGACGGACGGACAGACAGACGGACATGCATAAATCGACTCAGAAAGTGATTCTATGCATATTCTCAAAAGGAACCATGGGTCTATCTCGATTGTTTTTGCCTGTTACAAACATATGCACAAAGACATAATACCCTGTACCACAGTGTGGTGAAGGGTATAATAACCAATATCGTGTCATGAAGAGGTATAATCCCTATATATTCCCTAATTATTGTTATTTTTAGGATTTCTGACATGTTTTTCAATCGAATTTGCTGTAATTAAATATTGACTCATGGGTTGAAATATCAGAATACCTAAAATGTAACACCTATCTACAGACACCCGGATATAAAAATTAGGAGTAGGATCGCTTCTTTTATACAAAAAAAGTCCTTAAATTCGACCGCACCAAATTTTTTATACCCTTCACCATGTGGTGTGCAAAAGAAAATTCACTGGTGCTAAAAAAATACATACTTTCATGTTACTTTCTAAAATGTTTTAAACTGAAAAAGTACTGGTTCCCTTATATGGTAGTTATATCAAACCCAAAATATTAAACTACAGTAAAGAAGTTAAAACTATGTTAAGTTCGACCCGGCCCAGCGGTTTATACCCTCCACCATGAGGATGACATTCAAATATGTAAAATTAATTGTTGTTCCTAGGAGACGAAAAATACGTGAAAAGGATGGTTACCTAATAGAGGGCTAGCGTTTTATGGGTCTATACCAAAACAGGGATCAATATTGATCATTTTGGTTAGTGAAATCATATTTAGTAGGAAGATGTGTAGTACGTTATATATGGACTACACTCAAACTTGGTTCAATATTAAAAACCCAAAATACATAATTACAACCAATTTGATTAAAAAACGTGGTCAAAATCCCAAAAATACCGTACATTGGGGGTACCGTTATATGGGGGCTACCCTGACACTTACGTAAATTTTAATCATTTTTTATACCCTTCACCACACTGTGGTACAGGGTATTATGTCTTTGTATATATGTTTGTAACGGGCAAAAGGAAACGAGATAGACCCATAGTTCCTTTTGAGAATATGCAGAGAATCACTTTCTGAGTCGATTTATGCATGTCCGTCCGTCCGTCTGTCCGTCTGTTGGTATTAAATTGTAAACAAAGTACAGGTCGCATTTATAATCCGATTTGGATGAAATTTGGCACAGCTCATTTGTTTGGCCCAAGGACGGACCCTATTGAAATTAAGAAAAATCGGTTCAGATTTAGATATAGCTCCCATATATATATTTTCGTCTGATTTCATGTAAATGGTGCACCAAAGTCCCTGTATATATGCTTAGATTTGCACGAAATTTTGTATAACGTACTGAATTGAGCCTAGAGTGATGTCTGCAAAGTTTCGTGAAAATCGGTCCAGATTTAGATATAGCTCTCATATATAGTTCCGTCCGATTTCCTGTAAATGGTGCACCAATGTCCCTATATATCTTTCGATTTGCACGAAATTTGGCATAACGTACTGAATTGAGCCTAGAGTGATGTCTGCCAAGTTTCGTGAAAATCGGTCCAGATTTAGATATAGCTCTCATATATAGTTCCGTCCGATTTCCTGTAAATGGTGCACCAATGTCCCTGTATATCTTTCGATTTGTCTAGAATGATATCGAAATCGGAACCGATTTTCCCGAAACTCAACACACATCACTCTAGACTTCATTCAGTACCCTATGCCAAATTTCGTGCAAATCTAAGGATATATAGAGACTTTGGTGCGCCATTTTTATAAAATCGGACGAAAATATATATGGGAGCTTTATATAAATCTGAACCGATGTTCCCGAAACTTATCACTCATCATTTTAGACTCAATTCAGTACGCTACGCTAAATTTCGTGCGAATCGAAGGATATATAAGGACTTCATATCCTTCGATAATAATACGACCTGAATCATGTGTCTATCTCCTTTCCGTTTGCCTGTTACAAACATATGCCCAAAGACAAAGTACCCTGTACCACAGAGTGGTGAAGGGTATAAATACCCCGAGTGAGATTTTCTGCCCGATGAGACGAGATGAGATTAAAGACAATTTGATTGTAAAGATCTCTTAAATTCCAAAATTTGTATACCGATCGGTATATCTCGACTAGCTGAGTCAATCTAGACATGTATGTTCGCCCGCCCGTTCGTCTGTCCATTATAATTTGTAAACCAAATGCATGCCACAGCAATGGACCAATAGTCACGAAATTGTACATGTAGGACGGGTTCTGACCAAAGAATACCCCTATTGTTTTTGGTAATGATCGGGGAATATGGACCTTAGTTTTATCTTTTGTTTTATCTATTTTCTGGTCGCACTAGAGACCACAATTATGATCCCAACATAACGAAATTTGAAACAGAAAAAGAGGCCTGACCATGGAATAAGCATGGCTGTTTTGGTGAAGATTAGTTAATATTTAGAGGGTCAAAGTTGTGTGGGATATCATATGGTCGGCCACGTCCGAAAATACTGCTCCGCTCACTGGTTTTAATTATTTCTCAGGTCCTTAAGATTACTCTTTTAATATAAAACGAGTAGCAACTTTCGCAACTAAATTATAGACTCGTTGAAAAACTGTGCTACGAAACTTAACGTATCGAAAAATTAGCGGGCCTTTATGGAAAAACATGAAACTATATTACAAATTTTCTAAAAATATTTTGTCACAAGGAATGGGAGCTAAAACTTTCGAAATATTGAAAATAGAGCTTTAATTTTCGGAATAAGTCTGAAATATGTATTCAAATAGAAGATTTTTTTTCAAATATGTTATTCACCCTCTAAGAAACCGTAATGCCAAATTATAACCATTTCGGAAGGTGGCTAAAACCTTTAAAATACCGAAAAGAGGGTTAGACCTTTATAAGGGACAATGACAAAATGTGGACCGATATACGAAAAAAATCGGAATGCAAATTACAGACCTTTCGTTTGAAAGAGCGATTAAGCGGTTCTGAGGACTACTTTTTCTGCATAGAAAAAGAAAATAACCCTTAAGAAAGTACTCTTTGGAAAATAGTTCATAGGACTTATTTCTATAAAAAAATATATATAAATTTGGGGCATAGACAAATGTCCAAAGTCTGTCCGATTGCGACGAAGTTTTGTACGGCGAACCAAATTAGGGCTAGAATGAAAGAACCAATGAACAAAATAATCGGTTCAGTTATATATTGCATATATATACTTCCATCCATCATGAGGACTTTAGTAGTCAGTAGTTTTAAGAAAATAGTCCACAGGGCGGGAGGACTTTTCTATAAAAAATGTACATCAGATACCAATGCTTCTTTTAAAGAATGGTATGTGCATGGGTTGTTTTAAATTTGCTCAAATGTCTAAATTTAATTTCGTCCGATTCCATTTTAATGATGCTCCAATGCATCACTGGTATGTACCAAAAGTGGTGAAGGGTACCCTATAGTACAGACTCGCTATAAATTTTAAAGTCTAAAACACAGCTGCAGGGTGTATCAATTTTGTTGACAAAGCTTATAAACAAACTACGTCACATTTAAAAGCAATTTGTTTTAGCTGTCCCAAGTATATATATGTGTGTGTGTGTGTGACTGTGTAGGGAGGCACCTAGTATATCAGTGAGTGTTCACTGTCTATTCACTGAGTGGTATATATTAAAAATGTTAAAATGCCAAATACTAAATGAAACATAAACTGTGACTAAATGAAGAGGAAGATGAAAAACGTAAGAGAGACATACACACAATAGGGGACAGAGAGAGAGAGAGTAACAACAAAAGAGAGCATTTACGTGGAAAACTTTTATAGGCGAAAAGCTTTCCATACGTCGTCGTTGTTTTTTTTTTTTGCTAGCATTCTTTGGTGGTGGGCGCCTTACATCAAACACCAGCCAAACTGTGCAAAGTGAAAATACAACGGCAGCAGATTCGAATAGCAACGCGACAGAGAACTGAGCTGCAACGAAACAAATCAAATCAAACGAAATGATAGCTAACCCTATGTTGTAGACAGCGGCCAAGTAAATCAGTTAGTCGCAAAAAGAACGCCACGCGAATTTTAACAAAACAATCACAAGCTGACACCGAGCGAGAGAGAACGAGGCGAAATCGAGCAAACTGTAATCGAAATAAAAAATTTCAATTCAATTAATTTATTTCCCATTTATTTTGCCAATAAAGATTCAAAATTTTTGTTGATTTTTTGATTTTAACGACAAAAAGAAAGAATTTTTACGAAAATTTTCAGTTCTTGAAATAATTTGCCAAATTTCCAAATAAAGATTTTTTGTTCGCTTTAAGCCAAAGTCGCAAAATATACAAATAGAAACAAATAAATAATTAGTGATAGAAAACAATCAAATAAATCAATTTTCAAAAAAAAAAAAAACGAACTGAAACTAAATTTTGATAAAAATAATTTTTCTACATTTTCTATAAGAAAACCAAAAAAACCCTAAACAATCACAATAAACGACATAAAGTGCATTAAACAATAAATCCTCAAAAACAAAAACAAAAAAAAAAACGAAAACTTTTCAATTCCGCCATACAACGAAAAGTAGAGAAATTGCGCGTTTTTTATTCCCTCGAATTCGATTGCCAGAAATTGCAGTCGTCTTGTAGTTGTATCAACAATTGCCATTACCAAGGACAACCGAACCAAACCAAGCAAGCATAGCTGCCCAGCCAAGCCAAGCCAGCCAAACAACCATTGAAACCTACCACAAGGATAAATCGACGAGGTCCTGACAACGCAGCCATAATTCAAAACTTTATCCTCCAAAACAAAAAAACACACAAAAAACTGAACAATTCGCAGCCAAGGAAAACCAGTAAAACAGGAAACTTCTCCTAGAGTCATTAGCAACTAATAATAACAACAACAGCAACAACTACATACAACACACACTCACTCTCTCAGCCAAGAAGCCGAAGAAAAAAAACTTTAGCAAAATGTCATGGAGATATGCGGTAGGTTGTTATAAACTTTTATAACCATTATTATTATTTTTTTAATTCCATTTTGTTATATGAAGTACATAAATAAATAGGTAGGGTATATAATAAAACACATACACTCATATGTACATAGGTATATAAGTGCACACACACACAAGTGTATGTTCATCTAAACAAACATATTGTATTTATTCATATAACAACTTAGATTAAAGCTATCACGAAGAACCTACCCTACCCTACTCTACACCCTCTGCCATCAACAAACATGTGGTGGTTGCCTACAGCATCTTAGAAACAGATTCTTGCAATGATATCCTTCCTCAAAGGCACCTACAAACACATACACATTCGCACACAGAAGCACACGTATTTGTAGGTTTTGCGACGCAATATTATTTAATTTTACCCACTCACACACACACACAAATACACTTTCTGTTTTTTTTATTTAAGATAAATGATCCAGGAGCAAAAAGAGAAATTGTTGTTTGCATTTAAGTATGCTGTAATTCTATAAATAAAGTGTCCTTTTTCAAAGTATATATGTATAAATTCGGTACGGGGATATATAGCAGCAGCATAAATTGCCTATCATCGTATATTAATGTGGGTCAGTTTTTTTATAAGGGTATTAACAAATAATAATTGAGAACAGTTTATCAAAAAAAGCCTCAGGGCCTGGGAAATATTTGCTGTAGAAAAAGATCCTCAAAAATCATTTCAACTATAAAAATAATCAGGAACAGAGGTCTATTTTCCTAAGTAAAAACAATCTTAAAACCCCAGCACTTTTTTTCTTTAGAAAAAAATCTCAGGATCTGAGGACGATTTTTCTATATGAAAAATTCTCAGGACCTGAACATATTTTTTCAATACAAAATCTCACGACCTGAAACTTTATTATAGAAAATAATCCTCAGAACTAATTTTTTTCTATAGGAAACATTCCTTATGACTTCTTTATTAATTTTCGGGACTACCTTTTTTACAGAAAAAAATTCCTATAGACTATAAAACTAAATTTTTCTATAGAAAATATTTTCAAAACAAGAGGACTACTTATTTTCCTTAGAAAAAAATCTTGAGAAATCTTTTTCTACAGAAGAAAATTCTTCCTTTTTTATAGGAATGGTAGTTCTGACGACCTGAGGAATTTTAATCTATAGAAAAAAGTAGCCCTCCGGTTCTGAGGCATGAGGACTACTTTTTTTCTGTCATCCTCAGGACTACTTTTTCTATAGAAAAAAATCCTTAAAAAAAAGTGCCTCACATCCTGAGGACTACTTTTTTCTATAGAAAAAATTTTCCTCAGGTCCTGAGGACTACTTTTTTCTATAGAAAAATTTTCCTCATCTCCTGAGTACTACTTTTTTCTGTAGAAAAAAAATTTCTTCAGTTCCTGAGGATTACTTTTTACTTTTTCCACAGGTCCTGAAGATTACTTTTTGCTATAGAAAAAAATTCCTCAAGTCCTGAGGGCTACTTTTTTTTTAGAAAAAAAAACCTCAGATCCTGAGGAATACTTTTTGCTATAAAAAAATGCCTCCTGAATCCTGAAGACTACTTTTTTCTATAGAAACAAATTCTACAGGTCCTGAGGATTACTTTTTCCTATAGAAAAAAATTCCTCAGGTCCGGAGGGCTACTTTTTTATAGAAAAAAATCCTCACGTACTGAGGACTATTTTCGTCTACAAAAAAAATCCTCAGATCCTGAAGACGACTTTTTTCTATAGAAAAAAATTCCTCACGTCCTTAGGACTAATTTTTTGCTATAGAAAAAAATTCCTCACGTCCTTAGGCCTTTTTTTGCTATAGAAAAAAATTCTACAGGTCCTGAGGATTACTTTTTGCTATAGAAAAAAATCCTCACATACTGAGGACTATTTTCTTCTATAGAAAAAAAAATCGTCAGATCCTGAAGACTGAGAACTATATTTTTCTATAGAAAAAAATCCTTAGGTCCTAAGGACTAATTTTTTCTATAGAAAAAATTGCTTGCTATAAAAAAAAGTAATCCTCTGAAGAATCTATAAAAAAATGTCTCCGAGATTTTTATGGTCAATACAAAAATTACCAGGACCTATAAAAAATTGTCTGAGGACTACATTTTCTACTGAAAAAAATATTAATTGATTCTGAGGACTATTTGAATATAAACCTCAGGTCCTTGGAACTATTTACAATCCAAAGGAAAATTCTATTATAATTTCTTTAAGTCCTGTGGCCGAGGGTACAATACTTCTTTTCAGCTACTGAAATTTTTTTCTACAGAAAAAAGTAGTCTACTGGCACTGAAGAATTTTTGCTGCAGAAAAAAACCTTCGGAACCTGAGAAGAAGTATTGTGCGCACTAAAAATTTGGAATACCAAAGTTAATTAGATAAGAAAATACTCCTAGGACTACCTACAGGGGACTTTTATATGGGTGGTACGTTAAAACTTGGGCCTATGTTGAACATTTTAATTCTTGAAAGCTCGAAATATGGCGGTACCGTTTTATGGAGGTATACCAATATACCGATATAATCAAGTTATAATATTTAACACCTAGAAACAGTAGCAACCTATATTCTGAGCACTATCTGATAGGAAAACTTTCTCAAAATTATTAGAATTTTGTTAAAATGTTGTATTAAATAAATTTCCGTGTTGGTTGATTGATACCTTTAATAAAGGCTTAAGATCTCAAACATTTGCTTAATCCACGCTTTTGTTGATTCGCCGAAAATAATTTTATTTTAAAAATCCACGCCCATGATTGAGCCTCAAAATATTTTTAAAAAAATCCTGCCCTTTGTTAAGGCTCAAAAATATTTTTAAAAAGATATACGCATATGGTAAAGCATCAAAAATAATATTTAAAATCCCTTTGCAGTTGAATCGGCCTCCAAAATAATTTCTTAAAAATCCATGTTTTTGATGCAGTCTTAAAAAATATTTTTTTAATTTTTTTTTAAGAAATTATTTTGGAGGCCGAATCAACAGCGAGGGTTTTTTAAATATTATTTTTGACGCTTTACCACATGCGTGTATATTTTTAAAAATAATTTTGAGCCTTAACAAAGTGCTGGATTTTTTTTAAAGGCTAAAAATAATTTTTAAAAATAATTTTGGAGCCTTAATTTTTTTTTAAGCCACGCCTTTATTAGATCCTCAAGATTTTTTTAATTCACATATATAGTAAGGCCTCAAACTTGTTTCTCAAAAAATCCAGGCCAGAAAGCAGAGATCCGAGAAGGAAAGAACCGTAGTCTTATGTCAGTAAATACACACAAGTTATAACTATAGTTCGATTGTCACGAATTTTCGAGTTTACAATATACATTTAAAGTGGGTCAGAATTAATATTTGGGGGCGATGCCCATTTATATTTGGCTGCCAGATATCACCTCGTAGACATATCCAAGCCGCCATAAAAAATAGAGGAATTAGGATTTCTTAAGAATCTCCCACACATTCATCGCACATCCTTCGAGTTCCAAAAATAAACCACTATAAAATACCACAATCAAATATCTTTTCTCAGAAAAAAAATGCAACACACGAAAACGTGGGATTGAATTCTCTTTATATACTTTTATATATATATATATATATATATATATATATATTTAAGAACTTTTGAACACAAACTGCAACATCTGTGAATTATGTTTTCTACCACTTCTGATTTTTCTTCTTCTACGTATTTTGAACTATGTATTTAAGTGTATATACTACTTGTGTATATATATGTGAATGTGCAACATATTTTTGTATTCGAACAGCACAACAACTGCATTAAGTACACATGAACTCAAAAACAAGAATCTTTGCACTTGCAGTTGTTGTATCGGTGTGCATGTATATAAATATATATGTATACATATATACCGCACGACTACACAAACACGGAATACATTGAAAATGTGTGTTGACCTTGATTTTTGTGTTCCGATGACCTAAATTTTTTTTTGCCCATGTACATGGACATACTTTAACCCCTTACATATACATATTTATATATATATGCACTTTTGTGTATGTGTGTGGGTTAGAGATATTGAAGAGTATACAGCTGATGCTGAATTTCATATGTATGTGTGTGTGGGTTTGTGAATGTGCATTGTACTGTGATTGGCAATATTATTGTGATTTTTTTCGCTCATTTATTTGTAATTTCCTTCTGTATGAAATATTACTACTTTGTCTGTTTATTTGTTTGTTGCAACTTGTTTTCAATTAGTTTCAATTAAATGCACAGTGTTCCGAATGAACTCAAAAAAGATGTTAGTGAAGTGTGAAAAATGGGGCTGAAAACGGAGATATATTTTGGTAACCACAACATGGGAGTTATTTTCTTTTTTTAATAGAGAACTCTCAAGATTTTCTATCTATTGAAGAGGGAGTAGGAGGTTCGGTTCGATAGAAAACGAAGGCCTCAGAGGTTTGAGATAGGAGAAGCTAGATCCTTTGGCATTGCTCTTATATGAAATATATAAAGTAACCCACTGAGGAAGTCAGAGGGGGTAAGATCTCTGAGATCTTCTTCGTCTATAGAATATAGAGGGAGCACAGGAGACCTATGAGGTCTTCTTTGTCTATAGAGTAGAGGAAGCCCACCAGGAAGCCAATACCTCTGAGGTCTACTTCGTCTATAGAATAGAGGAAGCCATATATAGTAGAGAGGAAGCCAAGACCTCTGAGGTCTTCTTCGTATAGAGTAGAGAGTTGGCTTCCTCTCTTCTGAGGTCTTCTTCGTCTATAGTATATAGGAAGCCAAGACATCTGAGGCATTCTTCGTCTGTAGTATAGAGGAAGCCAAGACCTCTGAGGCATTTTTCTTCTGTAGAATCATCTTCTTCTTCAAGACCTCTGAGGTTTTTTGGCTATAAAATAAAGGAAGCTAAGACCTCTGAGGTCTCCTTCGTCTGTAGAATAGAGGAAGCTAAGACCTCTGAGGTCTTCTTCGTCTGTAGTATAGAGGAAGCCAAGACCTCTGAGGTCTTCTTCGTCTATAATATATAG